AATATACCGGGTGCCCCCCCCCCCCAATGCATACACACGTTAACAGCTGCTAGCTCCATTTTGAAAATGAAATGTATTTTACTGAATAGTGCCTTTATAATTATTCAACGTGTGCGTGCACATTTTTTGCGATACCCTATATATTCTAGGTGTTAGAACTATTGTAGTCACCAGTACAAAACATCCCGCCTCTGCACAGAACTTTCATTCTAGTGGGCAAGAGGGTAAAGAAAGATAAATAAATTAAAGACAGTGCTCGGTAAAGACACGTGCTAAGGCGAAAATTACATAAAAAAGGGAGGAAGGGCAGGGAACCTGTGGTGCAATTTTACTTAGAAAGCAAGGGGAGGCCGCGTGTGTTGGTAACCGGCATCAGGTAAGGGCCGGTGAGCCCGCCCTGAGACATAAACAGAGGAGGGTTTGGCTGGGGAAGAAAGAAGGAAGCAAAACTGTAGCACAGCTTAGCGAGTTCTGTTACTTTTTCACTGGGAAAACAGCCCCACAAATGACCGTGCGATTTACGACAAAAATTCCTCTCCAGGGGAACTCTCACCTCAGCCCCTCTGCAGCGAGACCCAGTGTTCCCACCTCTGTCACTATAGCTTTTGATTGGGCCGGCGTATGCGCGTTCTCTGTGCCTATTGGTCGCTGCGCCTGTCCCCAGACGAGCGGCCATCTTGGGTCGCGCCCCGGCCGCCGGGCCCTCTGGGAATTGTAGTCACCGCCCGGCTCTGTCAGGTCGTGGGAGGCGTTGCCCTCTGTTCCCGGCCCCTCAGGCAGCCACCCCAGTGGGCACACGCGCAGGTGCTGCTCCTGCCCCGCGCTCCCTCCCTTTGCCTTTCACTTCCCAGCTGCCAAGATCTTGGAAGGTAGGGGCGTGGGGGCAAGCACTAGTCGAACAGTGTTTCGGGGACGCGGGTCTGGGTTCCCCGCGCGTCCAGTCTTCATCCTGGCGGCCCAGCCGGGCGGGACCTGAGCCCACACGGCTCGTTGGGGGTGGGGGTCTGTCAGGAAGACCCTCACCCCCACCCCTCGACCGTTTCAGGGCCAGTTACTGAGCACCTCCCTCCCTCCCCCGCAACTAAAACCCTCCCCTCCTCCACGGCCTTTCGTCAGTGGTAAACTGAGGCACGGGGCCACGCCAGGGGGCCCGAGGGCGGCCTCAGCTCCCGGCCCTGGGGGGTAGTGGGCACTGGCCGCTTTTGGGTGATTTGTCAGCTTCACAGGAAAGTAGCAGGAATCTCTGCCCCGAGGGTTCTGTGTTACACCCCGCTCTGGGCTCCCCACAGGGAGTGGCGTTGAACACGTGTCCGGACAGGAACCAAGCTGGGCTCCGGGAAGGCAGTATCTCGGGGGAGAACTGTACACTTAGTATTCAAAAAATACACAAAAAAGCATCGAATTCGTTATGGTGGAAGAACCCATCAGTGCTTTGTTTGGCCTCTTTACACCTATTTTATGGCTGAGTGTTTTTACATGAAAATATGCAAGGGTTTTTAAAGGTCTATCCCTCGGGGGCGAGGCAGGTGAGTGGAACCGGAGCAGGACTTACAGCTGCCTCTGCTGCATGACCTTGGTCCCGCACACAGCGCTCATCTGGGGAAAAAAGGGCTTAAACTCCCTGCCCAAGTGGCCAAAATCCACAAGCGGTCTTGCTCGTGCAAGTTTGCCACTTCCTGCTGTATTGACCTGGGTCTCAGATGTGCAGGGGTCCAGGGGTTTCAGAAAAGCTCTTTCCTGGGTTGAATGCGCCCCGCTTTGGGCCAGTTAAGAGGGTGTTCCGGAGCGCTCCCTCCGGCTCCACCTCCGGGCCCACAGCCCGGGCGGGAGGCTGGCGGCGTTTGAGTCTCGCTTCCCGGAGGGCGGTGCTCCTCCTCCCTGTGGGCCGTTTCGGGGCGAGGTGCCTCCTGGGAGATGAAGTTTCACCTCCATCGTTTTGTGGAGCAGCCTTTGCCTGGAAAATACAGCTCCCGTGGCCTGGGTCCTGGCTGTTGGCCTTGGCGTCCACCTGCTGTGAGCTGGCACTAGAGAGACCTGTTCAGGAAAGATGTCTTTGGCCGTCGTCATTGATTGTATATGCTGTTCCAAGCACTGGGTGGGGAATTACTGTCTATGCTTTTTCAAGTGTTAGGGGTCCTGCGTGCTTTCAAACACACCTAACAGCCAACAGTGTGTGTTCCTATCATCTCTTTTAATACCACTGCAGCTCTCATTTGTAGACGAGGAAAACAACTTGAAAAGATGATTTGTCCAGGGTCACACACCTAGTAATAACATCTAACATATTAAACAAGTAAATGTATGTTACTTTAGTTATTCTAGTTATTTAATTATCTCAAAAGCTATATGCAAGAGATAGCCATATTCATCTGCATTTTACATATTAGAAAACTAAGAATTAATCAGCGTGTCCAAGTTAATGCAGCTACTGAATACAATACTGGGACTGTAACCCAGTCTATCTGCTGTCTCTGCTTAGGAAGAGATCGTACCCTAACAGAGTGAGCGGGAGCCCAACCTTTCTGAGTACAGGATTTGGAATTTTTCCATTAGACCATGTTGCCTCTGTAGTTAGACACTAACGTTAGAACAGCAAAAACCTTTGAGATCATTTAAATGCTGGCATAGAGTAAAGGTTCCACAAATGTTAGTTATATATAGCTTTATAATACCTTTATGTTAGAAATGAGGAAACTGGCCCAGGTGGTAAAGCAGTTTGCCCAAGGTCACATAGTTGGTCGGAGATGAGACTAGACCCAAATGTCTTATTTCCAAGTCCAGCGTTATTTTCATTTTACCAGCAGTCAGCTAGCAGGAGCACCAGACGTGAAGCTGTTTAGATAATGGCTTCTCCTCTAATTTGTTCTTTCTAAGCCACAGACCAGGACCAATTGTCAAGTCTCTCTCTCTCTCTTTTATTACTATTCTAAGGTTGTACTACTCATTAATTCAGCAGATTTGTTTGAGCATTTTTATATACTCATCTCTCTTTAGGTGCAGGGGACTCCTGGATGAGAAGTTGCTAATGGGTTAGGGCTGGAAAGGCCTTATAAACCATCAAATCTAACTTTCATTTTATAAATGAGGGGAGTGAGGTACAAAGTCTCTGTGGTCTTCCTCTTAGCTCTTGTGTCAAAAGCATCCTGTTTCTGCAAGCCGGCAGGATTTTGGAGGCCTTATCGTACTGGATGTGGCCTTTTAGGCTCATGATTTCTTTTACTTGGGATGCTGGTCCTCACCTTACTCCTGTGCATGTCTGATGGATGCGTTAGTTAGGAAATGTTCTGTGTCCCCATCTATTTGTATGTACATGCAGCTTCAACGTGCTCCATTTCTACTTTGGAAATTAGTGTTGTTTTGGCTCCCAGTACTCTTTTCTCTTTTGTTCTTTCAGACACTTGAGAACAAAATATGACACTGTTTGCATTTACATATGTTAAAATCTAATGCTCTACATAATATAGGGTATCAGAAATGACCACATGGGTTGTTTGAATTATACAAAAGTTTTGTTTCAGAAGATACATTGGTCCTTTCAATTACATATTCACAGATAATAAAGCAGGCAACTCTCACCTCTGTGTGTGAAAGATAATTTCTACCTAATTACATAATAAGGTAACAGATTTGTAAATTAGTGGTTAAACATTCCTGAGACAGTCACTATGGGAGACATTCTTCCCATCACCCCCTATTCACCCCACCCCCTTCAGCACTCTCCCAACTGACGGTCTAATCATTCAGCTTCCAGAACGATGCATGACCACTAGTAGACATTGAAAAAATGTTTGGGGAATTGCATTCATAAGCACTCCTGAGCTATGTTCCCACATTTTTTTTTTTTTTGAATCTCAGTTTTCTCTCTTAATGTAGAAATACCGCTTTGAAATACAAGGTGGGGCAAAAGTAGGTTTACAGTTGTGAATATGGGAAACACAGTTCATTCTTGTATTATTATTATTTATTAATTATTGTATCGTTTTCCTACTATAAACCTACTTTGGCCTCACGCTGTATAAGAGGTAGCAGGTTACTTTCCTTTTTATAAAAAAAGCATTTTAGGAGAAAAATAGAAACATCAGTGGTGAAAGAGAATCATTGATTGGCTGCCTCCTGCACGCCTCCTACTGGGAATTGAGCCCACACCCCGGGCATGTGCCCTGATTGGGAATCTAACTATGACGGCCAGGTCCACAGGAGGATCTGAGCCACACCTGGGCTAACTCTCCTTTTGATGTCTACATTGCAGAGCAAAATCTCAGCCTTCAAGATCATCCTCTGAGGGCCTGTTTCTTTGGGAATGTCAATGTCTGTAACTTCTCAGATGAGCAAGACATCCAAATAGCACACCGTAGCAGAGAAACAATAGTCTGGAGGCCTATGATTTAAATCCCAGCCCTGCCTCTTAGGCAGGTTACTTAGTCCTTGGTTTCTTCTATAAAATAAGATAATAAGTATTTCTACTTCATATAGTGATGATAAAGATTAAATAAGATACTGTGCTTAAAGCTTTCAACATGTCAGGCACTCAATAGCTTCTATTCAATAGATGAATAGTAGCTCTTACTTTTATTAAATGTAACTTGATATTTGAAAATATATCAGATTTAAACTTGAGTCAGATATCTATTTTATAAAAGGATTTGCCATTTGTTTTCTTAGAATAGTAAGCCTGGCCATCACATTTGAAATATGAAGTTACCCACCACTCTTGATAACCCATCTTGTCAGCACAGTGACACTCTCTAGTGTGGGCAGAGAGATAGTGAAGCTTTTGGCTCTGCACTGCTAGCTGAGCGGTCCCTGATCTACAGTTCCATCTATATATTAAATCTCGATTGAAAAGCAGCCTGCTTCTGTCAGTGGGGCCTTCTGTTCGCTTGTAGAAAGGCTTGGGCCTGTCCCAGGAGCCTCAGGGTTAAAGCAGAGCAGTTGTCATCCAGATGGTGAGTAATCCCAGGGCAGTGGCCATGTGGGCATGGCAGTGCTTTCTAAAGCTGACAACTTCAACAGCCATGAGGTTACTGATAAGGAGGTGAGTTACTGAAAAGGGGTGATGCGGGGAGAGGGAAGGAGAGAGGGGAATGAGGATCATAGCAAGAGCAAATTGTGGATAGACAGACAAAAGATAGAGCTGAGGTCCTCAGTATCCTAAACATATTTGTTCAGCTCCTTTTATCCTGCTCCTAGCTCTGTGTCAGGCACTGTGCCATTACATACGGGAGATACAGCAGTGCGTGGTGGTTAGTGGTAGTTCATTCTAACTGGGGAAGAGCTGCCGTGGTCGGCAAACTCATTAGTCAACAGAGCCAAATATCAACAGTACTTCTTCAAAATAGACTCGTCCAGGCCGAAAACCGACCTCTGCTCATGAGCCACGAAGTTTCAATTGCACTGTATGCGCGCCCGCACGTGGTATTTTGTGGAAGAGACACACTCAAGGGGCCAAAGAGCCGCATGTGGCTCGCGAGCCACAGTTTGCCGACCACGGGCTTAGAGGAAGGATGGAAGGATGGAAGGAAGGGAGGAAGGAAAAGAGTAAGGAAAGAAGGGAGAAAGGAAGGGAGGGAGGGAGGAAAGGAAGAAGGAAAGGTGTGTTGGGATTTGACAAGCAGAAAAAAGGTCTCTGGGCCTGGGGTATAAGAACCAATGGGCAGGGAAGTGGGGGAGATGAGACTACAGAGGCAAGCATATTTTGCAGAATCTAGTTATCTGTATTGTAAAATAACTGGATTTAATTCCAAGGGTATTTGCGAAACCATTTAACAATCTTAAGTGGAGAAATGAAATGGTTGGATTTGTCTTCTAAAAAGTATGGATGCAGTATGGATGATGAATTTGTGAGAGGTAGTAGTTGATGTGGGAAAAA